ATATTCGAAACGCGTATGTCTCCGGCAAGTAAACAATCCCTAATTGTCATTTATTATTTGCCAACTCAACGATTGACAAGCCTCTAATTACGTCCCTCCAAAGACCCATCGGGCGACCTTGTTGTATTTTTATAACCCTCAGGGACACGTTCGCGATGTTTACTTTCTCGTTTGTTCAATTTTTATAAAATCTTGCTAACCTGCATTTACCGGGTGATTGGGTTGTTATTTCTCCTTCACTCCGATATAGACCGAATTTTGATGAAGCTTCAGGACGATGATTTTTGCCTAGGAAGGGCATAACGGCATTATTTGAGAGCGATGAAATTGATTGTTGGCAAGTTTTATTCTCAACGAATATGGAATTTCTATTATCTACTGATTGTTTGGTATCACACAGGTCGTTGGAGATATGGGATAAAAAATTCAAAAGTTATTCAACGAATAAAGATAAAAATGTGAAAAATAACATTCGCTATATGGATCGAAAATGTTTTTTATGTTGTCTGGTTTGTATATATTTATAATTAAAATCAGGCTAGAGCTCAAGGACCGAAACAGATTTAAATAGACTTTTGTAGCAACTTCGCAAATAAACCTAAATTTGCAATTTTCCAGTAAAGGGGCTTTCGTTAGTAGAGACATCATTAAAACACGACGCAACATTTTTCCATGTAGTTTTTACTCAGCGGGTCGTTATGTGTTTGAAACGCAAAGTTTGTTACTGATTTGTATACATTTTAATCAGCCGCGCGAAAACAGGGCTTTGATTTCAATTATTTTGAAAAAATTACGCGGGTCCGGCTTTATTTATTTTATACAAATCATGAAAAAAAAAGCGTCGAAAGCGCCGCACCGGCAATGAAGCTTGTTTAATGGTGAAATTGTATTCTTTATGTTTTGTTCTCAATGCAAATTGTTTTTTCCAGTTATTTCCAGTAATGCCATAAAAAATAATAGACGATAAATATAAATGTTGCAAATAAAATGTACTTACTTTTTAATATTAAGTATTCAATAACAGTAATAGTATCGGCTCAATAAATGCATGAAATGTTGAGTACAAAATCGAAATATTCCCTAAATTAAACAATATTTATTGAAAAAGAGCAGATGCTTGGTTAATTGAAAGTCTTCTTATATTACGCATTCTACAAAACATAGAATGATTGTATAGCGAGGCTTTGATGATACTTAACATTTATATATTTCTATTTTTTTCGGTAAAACGTTAATTTTACTTCATAACGAACGTAAATTATTAATTAATTAGAACCATAAAAATAATCACCGCGTTCGAATTAAAATTGACGGCAATACACCAAAGAGTTCCTTAAATTTTGGAAAAATCGGTTGCCGTCAATATGCAAAAATATTTAAATTGTTATCGTTTGACGTGCTCGGTTTGCGTTATCGAACAATCTGTGTAAATATGGTTTTAATTCAGGATAAAATAAAAACATCATTTTCTACTTTCTAATTTAAAAGTAATACATGTATAATAACGAAGGGTTGTTCCATGTCGTTAATACGTCGCACTAAATTAAAATGTAGTAGTTTTTTCACGCCATTCCCAAATTCAATGTTGGCGGTAATGATTTTTTAATAACCTCATTATATATTCACAGAATAATATAATTCTAAACGCATTTTCAGACTCGACCTCAACGGAACCTGAATGTATAATGCAGAGTTTTAGCAAATATGTGAAATGTCAGTTTCGCTGCATATTTGGTATGCCATACAATGGGCTTCTTGCATAAAAAAATGTAATCAAATCTAATCAATGTAATCAAAACAATGAAAAATAACAAATGAAAATAAACAAAAATTAGGTTGATTCGTGATCGTAACAAATTGTTCAAAATTGTCCAGTTTGGTGGAGCAAATGTCAAAATGCAAAAAAAAACATGATCAATTGATCCGGCTCGACAAATAAAGTATTTGGTAATATTTTTATGTTGTGTAGATTTTGCTTAAAAATATTACCTATAAATGAACCCCGTTGTTAATTGGACTCTCAAACTATAGAAAATTGTTTAGGCATATTTCTGAATATTTGTGTATGGTGTACACTTAATCTTGTCTGTCTTAGCGCTCCCAGTATAATCAAATAATTAAGAAACAATTAAGTGGTATTGTAAAATGTACTACGATGGAGCGCCGCCATTAGGGCCAATTTAGGTACATTAAAATATAATTGGTTACACTTATGGGCGAGAGACGTATCTATTTAACAAACGAAAACAGGATTAATTTTATTGATTGTTATCATGGTAAATGTTATAGCTGCAGTCAGTAAACCAATGAAATCAATCATATTTAGTATACAGGCTGCTGCAAGGTTTTTTTTTGTTATTATCATGTATGAGGTTATCGAGCAGAAGTTAAATTTGCAACTGACTTTTACAGAATTTTACCTTTAAAGTGCCTACAAAATGGTAGCACCCGTCATTTTTTAAAAATTTAAAAACTAAAAACTTAATGACTACAATTTGTATTGATTCGTTGCCGGGCAATAAACAGGTCTCTGAGCAACACAGACCGGCCAGTCAGTCTTAAATTAGATACTTAGATGATAATCAGCACTAGAAAACGGCTATGCGGTTCTGGAAGTTTGAAGGAATGCAGTCAGTGGCAATAAAAAGTTTGTCGTTCGCAACTAGATGTGAAGGTACATAGGGCTCAATCTTTTCGGCGTACAATCGTTTAGAAATATGGCAAACTTGTTAAGGATACGTCCGGTATATCTAAAACTATATTTTGACATATGTGACGCTGCCAAATTCGATCTGAAAGTGGTTTAGCTGAAAAAATATAGAAAAAAGTGTTTCGGATGATTTTAGAACTGGATACGAAACTTTCAATGAAAATAACACTAGCGGTCTTTTAAACACAACTTAAAACTTGTTACAACCTACTAAGTTTCGTCATCTATACCTAAAGGATATTAAATACTTACAAAATAGAAGCGTATACTTCAGTTAGAATAAATAAATATATTTCAATTTTCTAGGGAGCTAGAAGCAAATGCTGAAGGTACCTCAGTTGCAAAGCGTTATAAAAGACGTTTAAAAAGAACAATTAATTTTAGGCAACTTTATCGATTCAACCAAGAAAACGTGCAATAACCATTTTTCAGAAAATAAAAGTATTTTTGCTATCCGGATTATTAAAACAGCCTGAGGGAAATAATTGGTAGTAACCAGACTACTATATCAAAAATAATTTCTTAGTCTTAATCTTTGGACCAAGTTTCTAAGTTCCAATAATGAAACACAATTTCAGTATTCGAAAGTCTTTCCAATTTTTAACATCAAATCAAACAAAAAAGTGAAGCAATTTATCTAGATATAATTATATAACATATTTAAGCTGTTCTCTTTTCTTTAAATTTTTTACATTTTGAAAGTTTCAATCTAACGTGAACTTTTTTCAAGTAACCCTGAAATATAATAAGTGGTGTTTTTTCCAATGTATAGAACTTTAAGTTGCCATAAAACAACGATGGATTATTCGATTGACATGAATTTTATTTATCCGAAAGATAATCTTGTGGCATTACATTTTAAGTATGATTTCTGGCATATGACCGCCACGGCTGCCGCGGATGTAGTTCAATCTGGACGTCCAATTTTCGATGACTTTTTCCAACATTTGTGGCCGTATATCGGCAATTACACGGCGAATGTTGTCTTCAAAATGGTCAAGCGTTTGTGGCTTATCTGCATAGACCAATGACTTTACATAGCCCCACAGAAAGTAGTCTAGCGGTGTTAAATCACAAGATCTTGGAGGTCAATTCACAGGTCCAAAACGTGAAATTACGCGGTCACCAAACGTGTCTTTCAATAAATCGATTGTGGCACGAGCTGTGTGACATGTTGCGCCGTCTTGTTGGGACCACATCTCCTGGACATCATGGTTATTCAATTCAGGAATGAAAGAGTTAGTAATCATAGCGCTATACAGATCACCATTGACTGTAACGTTCTCACCATCATCGTTTTCCAAGAAGTACAGACCAATGATTCCACCAGCCCATAAAGCGCACCAAACAGTCCGTTTTTCTGGATGTAACGGTGTTTCGACATACACTTGAGGATTAGCTTCGCTCCAAATGCGGCAGTTTTGTTTGTTGACGTAGCCATTCAACCAGAAGTGCGCTTCATCGCTAAACAAAATTCGCTTATGAACATCGGGAACAACGGCAATCTCGTTTTGGGCGTTGTTCAGGCGTGAATCTATTCATGATGAATTGCCAAACCAAACTGAGAATAAATCAGTTGACAGCTGTTAAATCGGTCGCCATCTTGAACAGTAATGCCAACTTAAAGTTGTATACATCGAAAAAAAAACACTAATTACAAGAGTTTGAAAGGCTTTAAAAAATTAAGTAGTTTTCAATTGATTTGGCATTATTATTTATTTTATCCGTTTTTATAAACATTAGGTTCTTTCATAGTGATGAGTTTTGTAATGCCACCTTATAACTTTTCAAAAAATCTACAAATTTCACCTGATCGTTGTCATCACACAATTACTTCATTCATATACTTGAACAAATTAACAATGATATAGTCCCATCGAAATAGCGAATGCTACAACTAACGAAGCAATTGCTATGAAGCAAAACCTTTTATTATTTACTTTAAGTAAATGCTCCATTTCTATTCACCCATTGAACGAATTTGTACCACCTGTATCTCCGAATTCTTTTAAAATTCGATGGCATTGTTTTTATTAACGAACCAACCAATAAAAGTATCAAAATAAATAAAAGCCCTGCGCGCGCCATAAGATAGAAAGCACATTGACTACGCGGTTGTTTGACTGCCACTGCCTAGCGCCGGGATATTTATAAAGGTGAAGGCTTTTACAATGAATGACGTAGAGTGGCACGGTGTGGTCGAGCCCACGAACGGCGGCTTCCTATTGGTTGACTCGTATCGTACGATCCCAAAATAAGTAGAAGGGCGCGTGAACACGCCGGCACCGTTCAAAGGAACGTTATCACCGGCCGTTTCCATGAAACTGGGTTTCAAATTGGCAATTTGAGAACTGTCTGGTCCGAGTTTAGATGTTTGAATCCTGAAGGTATGTACCAAATGAGAGAGTGCTCCAGGTTAATGCACTTTCAGTCTCGACATCGCGTTGCGCAAGTCATTTGACGCGTTCAAGCGACTCCTGATAGTTTCCGACAATCGGCCGTTTTTCAGGTGTAATTATTAGTTATTTTTAGCGCACAAGACGCTCTTGCCAGATCATTCACTGTCGATCCGGTATTTTCAAGCCGTCGTCAGGACCCACGTGTTGTGAAAAATTAATTTGCGCTAGAAGTAAGATGATTATTTGGTAACCGGGATGAAGCAAGGGCCTCGAAAATATGAGATAAACTTATATTCACAGATTACGCACATGAAAATTTCGTAATATGGGAACCTGCATAGCCGGCGTAGAAAATATTTTGTCCATTTTAATGAAATATGACATTTTTTGTTGATATTGTAACTCAGTTAGCTACTTCTAATGCTTCCCAGTTCTAGCCCTCTTTCTTTTGACGGAACCGATTCACGAGAACGTAGTGAATGAGTTTATTAAACCATGCGTGCCAAGTATGTAGGTTACTACACCGAATAATCACTCGAGTTCTTGGATTTCAAGGTCAGGTGCTCTGTCATCATCTGCCGCACTCCAAATGGTCGTTGCCCACGCTGAATTTGACTTACGCACCATTATTTGAATAAAAATTGATTCCAGGAAATATCGCAAACGAAAATAAATCGTAAACGCTGGATTTATACTTAAGATAAAAGGCTACGGTCCTTAACCCATTTTAAGAATCGGTATATAAGTGGGGTTCTGAGAAAATTGTTTGGTTCATTTGCTATTAGTTTGCTTAGTATTTTGATTTTTGCCTTTTCCGTTATTCGTTAATTTTATTAAATATATTTGCTTTGTCAGAATAATAAATTATATATGTAAAAGAAGAAGGGTGAGTACTGATCGAATTTGATTACTGGCGTTGCAACTACTATATGCAAGATCATGCGGCACATTAATCTTTTTCTATACTAACACTTTATCAAACTTGTTTATTACACTATCTATACTATACTATCGTATTGTTCCATTTTTTTATTTATTTCAAATACATTTCCTTTTTACATTTTGACATTGCCCACTTGAAACTTGTTATTTGGCGTCGAAAAGTATTATGCACAATATTCCCGTCAAATTTAACTCGTTGACGCGTCTAACATTTAGAATTCACGACCTTTTTATCTGGTCTCCGGTTTGCTTTAACCGCAGCATAAAATTAAATATACATAAGCAAAATAAAAATAATTACGCAACACAATAGAAAGGCATTTTAATAAACTTTTCAAAACTGCACTGATCGAAATTTCCATAAGATTAACCTTTTAGTTGCACCTATACTTAACCCGATTGCTTTTCATGTATGCACTTTTGAACTACTTAGAAACAACGGCTCAACAAAACGCAATTAGTTAGCTGTCCGGCCAATTTATTTGATTTTTTTAGGAATGAGTTTACTTGCATCCCTATGCTATGATTTTTGCGCGCTATGTACAGGCAACCTTCGTAGAAAGTGCATAGGATACGGTCACACACAGTGAGCATAAAACGTTAAAAGCAAGTATAAAATTTATCCGAAGTAATCATCCACAATCGATCAACAACATACTGAAATCAGTAAATAATTTATTTTAATTATTATTTAATATTTAAAGTTTGGAAATACCTTTTTCTATTTTTTTTATTGTTCAAAATTCGAAAAATAAGAAAGTTATAGCTCCAAATAAAGAATGCAACGTTTTAGTTTCTCAGAGATATTTGAAAGTGACTAAACCACTGTGATTGTCTATAGCACGCAGTATTTCATGCCTATTTCATTGTGTAGACAAATATTAATAGATTTTAAATGCTATAAACCTTTCAACTACCTAAATTTCTATAAAATAATTTAATAATACGTATGTGTAAAAATATCTCGAAAAAATAGATACGTGCAAGAAATAAAAACTCCGATGGAACAAAAATAACACGTTTGGACCATGATCCTGACGTAGCGAAACGCGTTAAAAAGTTGGATCTAGAAAATATACGCAGTTATCACTTTCCGGAATATTTTTAATTTTGCATAATCTTTATGGTAAACAATTCGCGGGCCAAATTTTTGTTCGCAATTTCTAATAGGCACGACGGTGCGCCGTACGTCGATAAGTAAAGGTAATATAAGTAATTTTAATGGCGCTTTGTATGTACGGTCAATATATATTTTTTAAATAACAAGCCGGTCTACGTAGGTAATTCGAGGTTAACAACATTTCTAAATTGGTCTTGTTATGCTCAAAACAAGCCTTGTACTCTAACAGTAATATCGAGACATTTCATTGTCTCATCTAATGGAACGTTATACTTTCTTAATTTTCACAGTTTTCTATTTTCGCGTTGCCGTCTCCCACAGAAGTGGGAAATCGATTACCTATATTAGGGAAGCCCGTCCGATTTGCCTAATCGTATAACGAAAAAGATTTGTTAAATGCGAAAAAATCCAATATAAATTTAAAGCCTGATTAGACACGTTTTGCCGTATTAACGACTTTTTAGACAAAAGTAACCGCTCGTTCTTTTGATAATATGAATTAGCACACTCGGTAAACCAAGGGTAAAAATGTTCGGGTGAAAGTAGTAAACCCAACTAAGTACTCGACACCTATAAATATTTATGACGGGCAGGTATATAATTACTGTTTTTTCTTCGGCAATTCAATAATTTTAAAAGTCATGTTTACGTCCCTATCTATTTGTAGGAACTAAATATATTGCTACAATCACGGGTCTAGTTAAGGGTTATGTTTTTTCATGGCAGCCTTAGTATTTAATGTACTTTTCCGCTTGAATATGTAAAATGTGTTTTACTTCTATTTTCTTGTATTTTTAAGCTTCTTGCAGTATTGTTGATTTCGCTGAATAAAATTTCCTAACTTATTTAATTAAGTTATTATTTTTCTTACTGTAATAAATTTCAAGTTAATCTTTTTTCCATAGGTGAAGCGCGTTTGCAAAAGGTGATGATGGTTCTCCGAATTGAAATTCTATCAACGCAGCCTTGTAATGTAATTTAAGGTAAGTTACGTTAAAAATTTACAGTAATAAGCAAAACTGGTGAGACAAGTAAAAAAATTTTAAATGCTAAACTCGTTACTGTTCCTACTCAGCAATATAGTAAAAAAAGATTTATCTTTCATTAGTTTTCGTAGCTAGATTATTAAATCTATTTTGATCTGGCAACAATTTCCATGTAATTAGTTTATGAAGCATGGACCATTAAGTGGGTACTTATATTTCTGTGTACTCATTTGATTTTATATTACACATTTAGGTACTTTGCGTGATTTCTTTCAAAATTGTGGATCGGAATTTTAATAACGAATGACGCAGTTGCGTATTTGATGTGAAGTTCTGTCAACACCACCTCGTAATAGAGAGAAAACTGGCACCCAAAGGTATTTTTTGTTTATCAGATAATGGAAAAAAAACAATGAAGTCGTCTCGTGTGCCTGGGATGTCTAACGGAAATAATAGGAACAACTTTCTTGCCAATTTGCTTGTACATAATGGATCGTCATATTTTCACTTTGTCTTTTTATTGCTTATGATTTCGGTGTACACAATTTTTGTGTGCTCTTTTGATTGTTCCGCAATAAGCGTAACGCAAAAAAAAAATGTTGACGGCAGAAATAAACGGATTAAACTACACAAGACACCCCTCGCGTTAACTGCAAAAGTGGCAAAACAACCCTTTAGATATTTAAGCGCGCGGCCAGGTAAATTCGAAAGTCAAATAGTACGTGCAGTGACCACCGTTGCACTAATTCACTGTCTACAGTTTAGCTCTTTTATTTTGTTTCATTATCCCGTGTCATTAGTGTTGAAATTTCCGGGCGCGGCCATTGCAATGCGACAAGAAAAAATTTATATGAACAAGAAAACAGCATTAAATGTGTGTTAGGGTAGGTATGTAGCGTGCGGCGGAATGGATTCAAACGATTTTGTTTTTGGCCTCGCACTCGCGCTATATATTCAAGTTTCACGGCACCGGGCAGAAACAAATCGTTTTTATGGAACTGAATATATTTTTTTAATAACATAATATGGGTAAAGTTTTATGTTACCAAAAGCGGACCAACAATAACCAAAAGAAATGTGAACTATCGAAACGCCTTGTGAATGCTGCACAAGGTTGGGTGAATTTTAATGCAAAATCGTTTTTTTTTTTAATATTTTGAAATTATTCCGAATTTGTTGCTAGTTTAATTTTAAAATTATTTTTACAAATGCGTAAAACTTTCATATATAGTTTTTAATCAACTTGCATTTCACAAAAAGCAGTTTTCGATTACCCTTAAAAAAACAATGTTTAAAAATAAAAAAGTAACGAATTTGCACACTCGGTGTATTTTTTCCACATCTCTTCTTGCTTATTTTTTCCCTCAGTAAGGAAACCCCTCTCCATCAGCTCAATTTGATTTTGGGTTAAGACTTCTGTTTCGTTAATTTGGGTTAGTTTTGATTACTTTTTTTGTCGAAATATTGGTTCATGTCGCGGACACAAATATTAAAAAAAAAAATTCAATATTTCAAAAAAATAAAACGAATCAATCTTTATAAGTATCTTCTGTTACTCCCCTAGATTGAAAACTTCAAGATATCGAATTTTGGCACTTTCAAAAATTCGGCAAATTTTTAATGAAATCATGGAAAGGGAATTTAAGGTAATTACAAAAGACTGTTGCCATTACAAGAAAAAAGTTTTAACGCTACTTATTTTGAAAATTTCACGCGATAAATTGGGATATCGTCGTCATTATTGGCAATTTCGAGAGGAATTAAATTAAACAATCGCATTATTTTTTTATATAATTATCTTAAAACGGCGGTATGAAAATTTTTCCTCGCCAAAATGCACGCACTTTATTTGATTGTATTTCATTTATAAAGTTCCATAAATATAAAAATTACAAAAAAAGATTAAATGTTTTATTTATGTAATTTCATGTTTCAAAAATTAAAAAATATTTATATTTTTTTACTCCCGTTGACAATTTCGATTTACAGGTATTTACTTTAGTATTAAATCATATGGTTTTAATCTGGTGCGTGATGTTAATCTTTATTTATGATCGGAAACTGCGTTATACTTTGGGTATTTATTGCAGGGGTTGTTATTAGTTAAAATTTTCCCGCAAAAATTTATGTAAAAAATATTTACTTCCGATTAGTTCGATTGTCGGTTAGAAAAGATCGATTTCCAGTTTAAAAAAAAAAACGTTCGACACTTTTTCGGCCGCGAGTCTCGAGCGGAACCTCAAAAATACGCGCGGACAGAAAAAAAAACGAGACTCACCTGTTAAAAATAAAGCCGATAGTACTGCAAAACTGCGTTTGATGTCGTTGACAACAGTATACATAATAATTCGGGAGTTGCGGTGGCAGCTTTCTCTCCAAACCGGTTAATGACAATTTGAAAACTTTCGCGTTTTTTTGAATCAATTCCGAAACGAGTAAAATGAAAATTCGCCGGGTGGTCGTGAAGTTTCGCGAGTCACGTGTGGGGGAGGTTTTCGAGCAACCGGCTACACTCCACTGCGAATTCGGAGAGACTGAATAAACTATTTGGAGAACATCGCTCGGCGCCCAACAACTGTTAATACTTGAATATGGCAAGTTGTCACACCAGACCGCGCGCGCGTTGCCACATTTCCGATCCGGTGGTCGTTTTGCGGAAAAATTTCGTCCTTAAAACATCCAGCCTTTACGAAGGCTTACAAGGGACCCACCACAAAAATATTTTTTATCTACGTTGAGGATCATGTTCGCGATCATATGACGACGAAAACCCTTTTAAGTGACTATCTGGAAAACAGGAAGCAACTTGTAAATATTGGTATTAAAATCAAAATGAGAATTGTCACGTGTGGTGTTCCACAGGGGAGATGGGACTGTTCACACAATCTAACTAAAAGATCTCTTGAAAATTGTTACTAAAGGAACTAACATCATTCAGTTTTGCAGATGAATGGAGCCATATTCTATGCGGGCGGAAAACTAGGATGAACTTAGATGTATAGAAGAATGAGATAAAATTTATTTCTTTTACGTCTTAGTCCAATACTCTCTCGTGCAAAATATTGAAATTTTCAAGACTTTGCACAATATTTGATTATAATTACTGATACTCATCTAAGGATAAACATCTCAAACACGTTTATCACTCTGTTTTTCAATGTCAAATAAATTACAGCTTTTTTTAATACTGTGCTGTTATCCATCATCACAAAAAAAATTGAAATTGAAATTAAAATATCACACTTCAACGGAATACTCATCATTAAAATAATGGTGTAGTGGTCCCAATGAGTAATAATACTGTCAAGCAAAGATCCCCAAAGAACTTGACGCACTGCATATCAAAAAAATTTCAAAGTGGAGCTAAGGAAGATCTTGATACTTACCGACAGATTAGAAATTCATCAGTTACTTGGTAGTGTTATTCGAAAAATCGTTTAATCCAGAGTACCAAAGAGATTTTGAAAAATTAATTAAGTCACAAATACAATGCCTATTTGTAACGATTGTTATTGTATACAATTAATGCAAGTCTACATTATTACATCAAACTTAATTGCGACTGTATTCCGGATTATAAAGCGGCCCCTGTCATTAGTTCAAACCAGCTCTAACCAGCAATAAACATTGCTTCAGAGCGAACTTATTTTTCTTATTGACTTATCGATATTTACTATCGCTGTGTTATTCATTGCTCGCACCTTCCTGAGCCAAAAAGTTCTTCTACCTGGGCCACGGATACTGGCAATATGAAACAGTTCGTATTTTTTTTCTCCTAACTTGTCAAACAATTCTTCCGTTTTTTTATTTTCCTGGTTATTTCCAAATGCCTATTCGAAGGGGTGCTCGCTGATCTTCAGCAGTCGTCGATACACTCATATTTCAAATGGCCGTACCCTAAGCGAGGCTTGTGTGTGTCCAACCCTCCAGACTGTAGAGAAGAACGAACGAAATTTGATTTTAAATGACGGGTCCTAGCGTTCATTAATGGTGCTTCCTAGATATGTCAGTTTATGAACTCTCTCCAAGGTTGTACCATTAAAGGCTACGCCGCCGTTTTCTCTGTTAGTTTCGTCATTAAAGTTGGGATGTTGTCGCTTCGGTTTGTGAGTAGTAACGTATCATTAACATCTCTAAAGTTGTTAACAGTTAATTCCTTCCTTAGTTTCAATAAATGTTACAATTAATATCTCCTTGAAATATGGGTTGAAAGTTAAAGTGAAAAGTTGATGGAGGCAAGATGCAGCCTTAGCGAACAGCCTTCTTTATACTAATTTCGTTCGACTGTGCCGCCACAATCTCACTTCTGATGCCAATATTATTACCCATCAAAAAGTAAATCTCGTACATTTCTTAAATAAAGCGTAAACTATATTTTTTGTAAAATGGAAAATAATTTTAAAATGCTATTAATTATTAATACTGTTAATGCAAAATATCTTTAAAGTTAATATCATAATACAGAAAACAAGAGTAACCTTACTTTTTTACGCATTTGTAGTACATCTTGTGTTAATTTAAAAAATAAAACATTAATTAAACTTTAACAGTAATAACGGAACAAAACAATTATCAACAAACATACTCTCAAATTGTAGAACACCAGATAAAGTAGAAAGTTTTACCCTAATTTTTCGCATGGAAACTTGTCTAACATAAAATTATGAAACTTTAGGCAAGAATAAAAACCTTTTCATCGCAAGTCACAGCAAAAATGCAAAATATGCAAAGTATTTTTCATGTTCATTAAGAAATTCGTAAATTTATACGTTCTGTTATTACTATTTCACAAATCGTATAATAACTAATAAAATAAAAATGTAAATTGTTTTGATCAATTTTTCTATATAAACTAACTACAAGTTTAAAACAAATATGGATAGGATATGGCGCCCGATATATCTCTTAAGCTGGAGCTATTGATTTCTAAAACTTCCACTAAACAATTTTATTAATCATCAATCATTTGTTAATTTTAACTCAGTGTTGAATGAAAAACAAGTGTAAGTGATAAACCAATGATAAATTAAATTATCGAAATCGGCAATATTTTCAAGAGTGCCAGTCCAGACGGGCACTCAAGATTCACAGGTGAAACCAAAGACGCAAAATATTATTTGTTCGAGAATTCCTGATTAAACTTTGTGATGGAAAAGTTTAGGAACTCATATCAAGAATATAAATGAAACAGGTAGCTTTAGAAGACTAAACATCGTACAAATTAGCAGCTTGAAATATGGATGAGTTGAAACTGTATCGGACATTCGCTATGGCGTTTAATTTTTTCCTTGGTGATATGTAAAAAACTCCTCTTATTGGATCGAGTTATAGAATTAGTTTTCCTAGTTTGATATAGTTTTTAACTTTTTTTATCGCTTCCGTGATTAAAGAAAATGATATTTAAAGTATAAATTAAAACCGAAAAATGTCGTTTTTCAGATAGTCATTGGTTTACTTTCTTTTAGTTTTACATGTACGCGCAATCATACCTTCACACGTGTCCATTCTATTTTAAGTATATCAGCTGCACATCTAAATATGTCTCGATACATAAGTGTTTTCGTATTGCTGATATGCAGGTGTCTGAACAAATGCGATGATGATTACGCGACGGAGCGATAAATCGCCGACTCAGTTTGGTAAAACATAATCATGTGCGTTTATTGGATTTTACTATCCAACATTTTCTATTTAATGCGATTTAATACGAAAGATGTTTTATATTTCGTTTTTTTTTAGTTGCTTATAATACATAGTGACTTTGTGAAAAGTAAATTGAGTGTCAGTTTTGGCAAGTTTGCCAAAAGGAACGACATTAAATCGAAAGGAAACTAGACAAGTCATAAATAAAATAACCAAAGGTATAAATCCAATGGAGTTACAAAATAAAAGCCACCAGTGTATCCCCTTTGTTTTAGTGAGTAAAGCACAAAAGTACTTGCAGCCAATCCGTTTGTCTTCCTCGTAAACCAGCCTGAAACAACTTTTACTTAAAAAAATATGTCTAAAAAAACTCTCATTTTAGATAAGAAGCAGATAACATGAGACATATATAAGACTCGGGTTAAGATCTGTGTAAATTTTACAAAATTTTATTTGTTGTCATTAACGAGAAAATTGGACGTGTGTAACTTAAGTAATAATAAATATTTACGAGTCAATTAAATGAAATATAAATTTTACAAAATTTATGAAACTTCTGGATTCCTCTTGCGTCAGTTATTGTTGAGTCGAAAATGTTTCGCCACTAATCCTGTTGGCTTCTTCACAGCTTAACTGAAACTAGCTCGCATTTCACTCTGTACCTACTTATATATTATTTGTGGGGGGCGGAGATAAATGAGGGGCATAAATATCGTCTCGGATGACTAATTCCCATATTGGTAAAAGATAAAAACCTGAGTTGCGGTTAAGATTGTATGGTTGCTTATAGATAGACCACAACCTCCCAATAGCAAGAGTCCGGAAGCAATCCCACACTTGCCACCGTTGCCCTTCCTTACATTCAAAACATCATTGAACACATATCAAAAGTTCTTAAGAAATATAAATGACTTTATTTGTCTTAGTCTTAAGGCTCCTTCATGTTCTTTAAGCTTCGTTAATGTTTTTTGTCCGGTCTCTCCAATGGAATTTTGTCTTTGACGGATCGAAGATGTTGAGAGATTTTTGGACAAGTGGTGAATTCGGTTTGGACGTTATATTTCTTAAAAACTTTTGATATGTAGTTAGTGACGTTTTGAACCGTGGCAAGTGTGGGATTTCTGTCGGACTCATTGATATTGGAAGGTTGTGGTCTATCTATAAGCAACCATACAATCTTAACCGCGACTCAGGTCTTTACCTTTCACCAATATGGGAATCAGTCATCCGAGACAATGTTTATGTCCCTCATTTAGCTCCGCTCCCCTTATGGAATATATATGCAGGTACAGAGTAAACTGCTAGCCAGTTTCAGTTAAACTCTCAAGAAGCCAACGGAATGATTGGCGAAACGTCAGCAAGTTCGACTCAGCAAAAACCGACGCAGAAGGGATCCAGAAGTTTTGTAAAAAGTATTACAGTAGAGAAATTTACAAATTTAACGTTGAATAGATATGCATTAAATAGAGCTTGTTAGTTATTATAACAACATGCATCATACATTATTCTGTAATCTATATATCTATTATAATATGGTGTGCGTATCTTTACGAAACTGGTGCTCCAACACCTATAAGTTGCAGTTATTGTAATGAAAATTTAGTAAGACCGACAACGCCGAACGAGACGGTAACCCAGTGGAACATACGTGGAACACCACGGATCTACGATTACTCACCGTCATAATATACGTCACGTGCGTCTGTCTCACTTCAGCTCGAGTAAAACCGTATGTCCTGAAAAATCGCAAAAATAACGCGCTACCATCACGCCACTCTTGAAATTTGTTGTGATAGGTTGCCTAGAAATGAAATTTTTAGGTGGGATATCGTACGATGATCGCGTTCCATTCGAATTTGTTACTCATAATCGATTTAGCAATATTTATTTTTGTTGCAGGGTACTGAAGTATTAAAAT